TTTTTTGTATGCCTCGTGTTTTGAGACTCTCTCGCTTTGCATGTGAAAGGCGGCGAGCGAGCGAGCGAGCGAAATAGCCTGCGATTTACAGCCCTCCCAAATGGAGATAAAACCTTGGCAATGAGTTGGAAACCTGTTGTAATCTGTGATCCAGGAAACAAAGAGGCTCATTAATGCAGAGTCTTTGCTGAGCCTTTGATGTTAGCTAGCATAGCATTCACTCTCCGTTCCATTTGCATTTAAACATTCATAAACATCATTTCTGCTTCCTTTGCCTTAAGCAATTTAGAAGTAAAGTATAGCTTCTATTTAAAGAAACCCACAGTGGTGAAGCTGAGAATACAAATATCACATAATCTTCCAACAGAGCAAATATTTTCTCCTACATTTCTAGTGGACGGCCGATCTAACGTAGACTGAAGATTTAAGGAACACAGATGGTTAACCTAAGTTTTAAATTGACATAAAAGAGAAAGAGAGGTCTGAATAATTTTCTTAAGGTGAACTTCATATATTAAATGCCTTTGCTGGATGTGGAATTTTTACAATTAGATCCCTGAGCAAAGCACTTATAATTAATCTACACCCCTCTTGTTCCCCTTTTATTTCTTCAGTTGAAAGATCTTGAATGACAAAATATTTATGCTAATTCATGATCCAGGAAAAAGAGACTGGCTGGCCATAATATAAATGCTCCCTAAAATCTTAATTCCCAATTCATCTGGACGTGGCCAGCAGATTGAGGACTGTACTACTATAGCTGTCACATGTTGATTTAAGTGGCAGAACATGCCTGGCAGTTGCATAAAAATACATCCGCTAGGATGTGCATCACTTGGAGAAAGAGATGTGAGCCATAAATACCACAATTCTGGGTTCTTGCACACATTGTTGCCTATATGCCTTGGGAGATCTGCAGTTATGTCACAACCTTATACCACTTTTTTGGAAACAAACTTCACCAAATTCAAGAGGATTTACATTTAAATATGTGTGGTTTACAGAAGAGTAAGGCCTTTGTTTTTAGGCATAATGAAGCATGAATAAACATGCAGGGATTTGTCTTGCCTGTCAATATTGTCTCTAATTGTTGAGCTATATTCTGCTATATCAAGAAACTTGGCAGCCTTTTTGACAAATCAAAATGGAACAGAACCCAATAGAAGGAAGGCTGTCATTGTTATTACCTTGGATCCTGAATTCTACATCTGAGGTTGTTTTTTTTTTAATGTAACCTCATAACTGAGGATCAATCAACTTAAAGAATTTAGTACATGTTAGTTCCTTGCCAATCTCAAAAAGGTAAGTTCAACTGCGCTTGGTTAGAATTTGGAAGAATAATTGCCAGAAAATTTGAGGCTATGATTGAGAGGAAAACAGATAAAAAAATAGATGGAAAAATTAAAATGACAAACTTAAATATTCCAGAAGCAGATGACAGCAACCCATCTCTGTACTGGTACCAAGAAAATAACAAACACACCGTAAGTCCAGCTTTCCTTTTTTACATGGGGACCTTTTAAAAGCCATTCTTTTTTTTAATGCAATATGAAACAATGAGTGCAAGAAATGTACTATTATCTCCGGTAGTAATGTTGCATTTCTAGAAGCAATATTTCCATATAATGCATCATGTAGGAACCTGAAGGGTGTGCGTGGAATTAGTGCAAACTAAGTGATCCAAAAACTTTCTACTACGGTAATTGTATTGCTCTCTTTGTGTTGATTTAAGTCTTCATGTGTGCAAAACTACATGGAAGGAGGTAAGTCTTTTTATGAAATGTATTCCTTTAAGCACAGAATTCAGGTTTGTGATTGGATTACTGGCCCACACACCCTAAAATTTAAAAACGTAGAAGAAAATAATCTTTCTGATACCTTATTGGAGGCAGATCAAAGTGGAACAATAAGCTTGATGCATTTGTCAAATCGTATCTGCAGGCAATGTCACAAGTTGATTTGCATTGTTGTTATGGGGAGGAAGTCCTGAAGAAGCCCTTG